AGCATCGGTGTGGGCACACCCCCCAAAATACATACATATGTAGTAGAGAGTTCTGCCAGTGTTGTATAGCACCATGAAATGCATATATAACAAATACATGTACATACGTATGCCTGCTGTATGCCGTGTATGATACAAACGAATAGTTTCATTTAATCTTCTTCTTTTACCGTTAGCTTGATGTATATCCATATATATATATGTGTATACACATATAGATTACCGTTATAGTTCAGTTGACCATGCGCTAGGAACGCATTAAGCTCTTTATACTCTTATTTTCAGCTAGAACTCTCCTGCCACCTAACTACCCCAACCAGCTCTCTTTATCAACATTGCTCTCTATCTCTCGCGCGCTCTCTCTCTCTCTCTCTCCCTCTCTGTAGTTCTCTATATGTGTATATACTCATATACATATCTAAATGTATATTTATCTCTTTCTTTTGTACGTCTCGCTCGCTCGTCTTCTTCTATTTCGTTTAGTAAGTTTCTCAGTTCAGGTCTATGTAACTCTCGCTTTTCTTGATTTATTTACATAATTATTTTCTATGCTCCCGGCGCGTACTTTATTCTTTCTTTTCTTTTTTTTTTGATTTTGTACAAAGATTTCTATATATATATATATATATTTATTTTTATTTCATTTTATTATAGACATAATTCGCAAACAGAGTATGGCGAACTATACAGGTAATTCGGTCGCGGCTGCTTCCGTGTTCGGATTGAATTGTTAAGTTCTTTTGTTGCTTTTCCGCTTTTCTCCCCACTCTCTCGTATCACACTCACACCCATAAACACACACACTCTCTCTCTCTCTTTCACACACACTTCCCGAACACCATTGCTTCCATTTGTTGACTGATCCAATATCTACACACACACACACACCTACACACATACAAATGTTGAACCGCTTTACGCTCTCTTGTTTTTGCGTTCCTTGTGCTAATCGCTCGCTCTCTTGCTCGCTCTGTTTATGTTTTTTAATTGCGCGCGCTCTCTGGAGTGCGCGTGTCGTAGTAATTAGGCTTTGTCACGTTCTCCAAGTCTATTTGCAGACTTACCGTTGCTTTTTGTCTCATTGTTTTGTGCACTCAAATGTTGCGTCTCTTTCTACCACATGTAACTATTGCATTTGCTAACACACACACTCTCTCTCTCTCTCTCTATCTCGCTCTCTGTATATCACACCTCTCTCTTGTGTGTTATGTCTGCGTTGAATGCATCGCTTATCTCAGCCGAGTTTGAAACCCGCACTTAAAAAACACTTTAGTAAAAAGTTGCAAATTTGTTTTGTAGACAAGATCAAAAATGTATGAATTAATTAATTACAACAAAACTGAAGGCACAAACTGGCTAAAAATGGGGCATTGACTTTGAGATAAGCAAAAGTCCACCAAGTTCAATTATCTCGGCCAGACTAAGTCACCTATAGAGTATACTGTTTCAATGTTTTATTTTTCTATTTCTTAACATAATTTTCGATACAGAAATATATATTCTTTGTGTTCTTATTGACCAAGCACACAGCAAACAACAAGAACAATTTGTGTGTAGCGCATTTGTAGTTAAAATACCGTTAGTTTGACAAATTAATTGAATTAGTTTGTAACATTTGACAGACAACACTGTTAATTTGTGCTTAATACTCAATATCTCTATATGTATATTTATTGCATAAACACACAAACACACGCGCAGAGCATCACACACTGATGTCGCCCCTAAGATCGAGACATGCCTGGGACGTGGAGTTCGTGCCAGATGAATCGTATTTCATAAAGCCAGTGAATGGAGTCTTTCACATCTACAATGATAAGGTGAGCTCGACACGGAATAACTCCCCTTCAGCTATATATGTATGTATGTATGTGAATATAAACATCTATTTGATTCACAGGAATGCACGAGTGAACTGGACTTTTCGTATCCAGATATGAATCAGTTTGTGAATGACATGCAGGTCATGTGCAATATGATAGCTGATGGGCCACTGTAAGTGTATAAATTCCTCATATACATGTATGTATTTACTTTAATTAAACGTCTTTGTGGATTCGCAGGAAATCATTTTGTTATCGTCGCCTTTGCTATTTGTCGTCCAAGTACCAGATGCACGTTTTGTTGAATGAGCTACGCGAATTGGCCGCCCAGAAGGCTGTACCGCATCGCGACTTTTACAACACTAGGAAAGTGGACACGCATATACATGCAGCGTCCTGCATGAATCAGAAGCATTTGCTGCGCTTCATCAAGAAGACGCTGAAGAACAATGCCAACGAGGTGGTCACCCACACGAACGGCCAGCCGATGACACTGGCCCAGGTCTTTCAATCGATGAATCTGACCACATATGATCTAACCGTTGATATGCTGGATGTTCATGCTGATCGCAATACGTTCCATCGCTTTGATAAATTCAATTCCAAATACAATCCCATTGGCGAGTCGCGCCTCAGGGAGGTCTTCCTCAAGACGGATAATTATTTGAATGGCAAATACTTTGCACAAATTATAAAGGTAGGCAGAAGACTACATACATAGATATGTATATATAGAGATTTGATGTAAATATAATTAATATATGATTATATTTTATTTTTAGGAAGTGGCTTTCGATTTGGAGGAATCGAAATATCAAAATGCAGAGCTGCGTCTCTCCATTTATGGTAAATCGCCCGATGAGTGGAATAAACTTGCCAAATGGGCCATCGATAATGATGTCTATAGCTCGAACATACGTTGGTTGATACAGATACCGCGTCTATTCGATATCTTCAAGTCGAACAAGATGATGACGTCATTCCAGGAGATAATGAATAACATATTTCTGCCGCTATTCGAGGCGACCAACAAGCCAAGTGAAAATGCTAATTTACATCGCTTCTTGACTTACGTGATTGGTTTCGATTCCGTGGATGATGAGTCCAAGCCAGAGAATCCGCTATTCGATAGCGACGTGCCCCGGCCGGAGGAATGGACGTACGAGGATAATCCACCGTATGCTTACTACATATACTACATGTTCGCCAATATGACGGTGCTAAACAAATTTAGAAAGTGAGTTGAGAACGGGCGGGGGACTGATCAAGTATATATGTATATTATATGCAATTTTTATCGTATTCACATTCACAGGCAGCGCGGTCTGAACACATTCGTGCTACGTCCTCATTGCGGCGAGGCTGGACCTGTGCAGCATCTCGTCTGTGGCTATCTGATGGCTGAGAACATTTCGCACGGCCTGCTGCTGCGCAAGGTGCCGGTGCTGCAGTACCTCTACTACTTGACCCAAATTGGCATTGCTATGTCGCCACTGTCGAACAATTCGCTGTTTCTCAACTACCATCGCAATCCACTGCCAGAATATTTGGCTCGTGGACTGATTATCTCACTGTCCACCGATGATCCGTTGCAGTTTCACTTCACCAAGGTAAGTGGACAGAACAAACAGAGAGGAAGAGAGAGAGAGAGAGAGAGTGTGTGGAAATATAAACATGTGTCATTAATTATCTTACGACGTTTTTGATTAGGAACCCCTCATGGAGGAGTACAGCATTGCAGCGCAGGTGTGGAAGCTCAGCTCCTGCGACATGTGCGAGCTGGCACGCAATAGCGTTATTATGAGCGGATTTCCACATAACGTGAGTAAAGACCTCTTGAAGAGTTTTCCGTGCTTTGGCTTATAATCATATGATTTCATATGTTTCCCTCACAGATCAAGCAACAGTGGCTGGGACCCAACTACTATGAGGATGGTATCAATGGCAACGACATAACACGCACCAATGTTCCAGAAATTCGCGTCGCCTATCGCTATGAGACTTTGCTGGATGAACTCTCCAACATATTTAAAGTGAATCAAACCTGTCATCAGAAGGACTCAGATGATAAATGATAGATTCGATATAAAATGCAAACCATATATACTTGCTATTATTATTATATACATTAACATTAACATTAGTTATGTATGTATGCATGATAATTGTGTACTTTGATGTGAAACGTTTCCTCTACTAATCTATTATATTAATCCAACAGACCAAAATTCTACAAACTTATATACAGGGCATTAGCTGGCATTAGCAACGGTAACTTCGATTTCCAGCGAGTGCATCGAGTAATCTTAGCAAATGTGTTTAACGTGTACTTTTATCCGTTGTAGGTAGATTCTTATTATTATTTTTTTTTTTTTCTTTTCTGAGCTGGTGCTGGTGTTGCCGCTGCATTGCAATTAAACTAGACAACATTATATTTCAAAAACAAAAAACAAAAAATCAAACAAAAAAAATCTCCAAAGTGTAAACTCTAAATAAAGCAAAACTGCAGAATTTTAAATATTTGATCATTTATTTAGCAATTCAAATTTAAAGGCCGCAAATCTTGCGGCTAATTTGAAATCCACTCGGGCCATCTTAAATACAATTGTTTTTATTCTGCGATGCTTGTGTTGCCGCTGTATTTCAATTAAGTTAGGCTAAAATAATATTTGAAACAATAAATGTATCTGATGTGTAGCTACAAATAAAGAAAATTGCTAATGGCAAAGAATTGATTGTTTTACTTGTACAACTGTATCTCAAATTATATTATTTTCAAATTTAGCGCCTATTTCTTTCGACATTAGCGCCATCTAGTGCACATTGGAATGTCTCTTGGTGTGTTTTTATTATTTATTGCTGCAAATATACAAGTAAATTCATTTTATTTTCATAAGCAATAAATTTGAGCTGAATTTCTATTTCTGTACAACTGTTTCATAAGTTATCTGAATTCACTTTTCAAGCAGATGACCATAAATTGCCCTTAATTTAGTCAACAGCTGATAAATGAAATATTTAAATATTAAAGCAATGCTGCCATATTCTCACATGATTTGAATTCCACTGGCAGTTGCGCTTAAGCGCCCCTAAAGTCTGTCGATACGGTACGATACGCAAATTTCAAATGAAACTTATCGATGTATCGATATAAGATCAACAACACCAACAAATACATATGCATTTGTGCGTACCTGTGTTATTGTGTCTGAGAGATTCTTCTTTGCAACTTGTCTTTGTTTCGACAAAATTAAACACACAAAAAACTGAATAAAAAATGATGGTGTCACAAAGCTGATAAATAGCACATAAATTGGCAGCGTCAAAAAAGACGGCAGACTGGTAAGACATCATCAAAGGGACAAAAACTCCTTGAGCGAAACAAGTCATCGTCGCTCAACGCTCTCTGTCCGACTCACGCGTATACGTGTGTGTGCGAGTGTGTGTGCGTGTATGTATATGTGTGCACAATGACCACCCAGCGAACGCATCGAAATGCCACCAGCACAGCGGTGGGGAGTGGAGCCGGTGATTCGGATTATGAGACGCTCATGCAGCGGCTGCACATTGGCGGCAGCTATCAGCGCTCGCCCGGCGGCTTTGATAACTTTGTGCACGATGCACCACAACAGCCGCAACAGCAGCAGCAGCAGCACCACCATCAACACCAGCAGCAGCAACAGCACCACCAGCGGCTGTCCAACAGCGAGGATTACAAGCTCTATGAGCGTGGCAATATAATAGCTGCCTCGAAGTACGCCACCGCAATACCCAAGCCCGGCGCGGAGCCCATTATGATAGGCAACGGCAGCAACAGTCAGCCGCCGCTCATATATGCGCCGACGGCTCAGGTGCTTGGCCAGCGCATAGCTCCGCAGAAGCATTCGCCGGTCTATGAGAATCTGGAGTTTTATGGCCAGTTCGATACGAACCAGCGGCGTGCCCAGCCCCAGAGTCCGGCGAGTCGGCAGAGCGTCATGCTGAACGATTATTTGCTGATGCAGCCCATTGGGGGCGGTCGATTCGCACATACGCCCGTGCCGGAGGCGCCCCAGAAGCACACACATCAGCCCATCGAGGAGCTGTCCGCCGTGGCGCCGATCTATGAGAACATTATACCCCATTCCGGGCAGCGGGCCCAGCCGCAGGCATCGCCGGCCACGGCCACCATGTATCAGCACACAGAGATGGCCACGCCCACGCCCACAGCTAACCAAATGGAGCTGAATGCGATGATGCTATCGTCGCCGCTGCACCAGCGCAGCAGCAGCAACAACAGCTCGTCCAATGCCGGTGGCAGCTCCGGTGCCTTGGGCTCGCCCACGCAGCGCTATCGGAATCTATCGCTGCCCAGCCATGGAAGTCCACTGGCCTCGCCGGCTCCGGCGCCGCTGGCCAAACTGCAGCTGCAGCAGCACACGCCCATCAAGCAGCAGCAGCAGCAGCAGGTGGGCATCAATGTGTCCGTCAATCCCAACTACATCGAGGACATCAACAGCTCCGACTATGTCTGCATGACGGCCAATCTGCACCGCAGCACCGCCGCCGCCGTCCCCACCAGCACCGCCGTCAACAGTCGCAGCCCCAACAACAGCAGCAGCAACAGCAACAACAACAACAATGGACGACTGACTGCAGTCAGTCCGCAGCCGCCATTGCCGCCGCCGCCGTTGACAGCGGCCGCAACGCAGACGTCAACGGCAACGACGTCCGCCGCAGCACAAATGCAACCCCTGCAGCTGCGCGCCACGCCCATCGCCACAACGGCGCCACTCGCGGTGGCCACATCGCCAACGCCCTCGCAGAGCAGCACAGGTGAGTGGAGAGGTGGCGAACACTATCCGTGCATCTCGATGCGCACCAATACCAAGACAGCAATATGACTAACCCCTGCACGTAAGCTATACGATACGGCTCAGCTATACGAATATGCATACAGAAAATATATGACTAACTCTTATCAGGTTTTTCTGCTCTAATGGAAGTCATTTTAATGAAAAGCTGGAAGAACTAGGGCAGAGAGAAGTTGAGGGGGAAGCGGAATGTCAGCTGCATTTTCATCGCCTATTTTTTCTCACTGGCTGCGCCTTTCTAAAAGAGTAGCTCCTATGCCAAGTACTTCTCTAATATCCAATAACTCTAATTGAAGAGAAGCTTAAGAGACTTTTTCTCTCTGAAAATATCATACTATTTATTCGAAATAGTAAATCTAATGGAGAATTATTAATTTATCTTGTAATCATATCTTCTATCATAGACATTTTTTTGGCTCTTCGCGCTTGTCTATTTCTTAAGTTTCTCCTAAAGAGCAGCTCTCATTTAAAAGAAGGGAAAAAGGAGTCGAGAGAATGTCGGATGCTATTTCTATATCATTCCCTCTGACTCTCTCTCTCTCTGTCCCTCTCTCTCTCTCTCTCTCTCTCTCTCTCTCTCTCTCTCTCTCTCTCTCTCTCTGTCTCGCAGATTCTTTCAGAAACGTTTTCCTGTCTTATCGACTTTTTTAGGAAAAGTCCTAACTCGCATTCTCTAGAGATAGAGAGAGCGAAACCGACAAAACCTACCATAACTGTTGTCAAAAAGGTTTTACTGGCTTTTAGTAATGCTCTCTAAAGACTTGTAGTTATTTTCGTAATGCTCTCCAAAGAATAGTAGCTCTTTTGGAAAAGGTCTAGCTCGCATTCCCTCTCGAGAACTACCTCAAAAAAAGTTTCTCACGAAAAGGAATAACAAAGAGCTTATACCATTGCAGATGTCGTAAATGTTTTACTGGCTTCATATAGACTACGTTTGAATGGGAACTTGCGGAAATAGGCTAATCATGCTACTAAACCATAAAATATACTTAAATGTATACAATCCTAATCCTAACTCTAATCATAATCTTATGCTCTTTTTAACAATGCTTGCATAGCCGCCTTGCGGCCCAAACGAGGTATGCCTAATCATTTAACCCACTTGCCATGCTTTAAGCGCCTCTTTGCTCGTGTCGCACATACTTAATGTTTACTGTACTTTGCCCACGAAACAGGTCTGACCAAGAATTTGCTGCCATACAGCGTGACTCCGCCGCGTCCGGCTGGCCCGACCGAGGCGCAGCGCAAGATCGAGGAGCTGACGCGCCAGCTGGAGGAGGAGATCGAGCAGAGCGAGGAGCATGGAGAGTATTTTGGTAGGCCAGAGAGTTGAGACCAATATGCAGCTATCTGATCGTTAATCTTCCACTTGCAGGCATTTGCCACACCTGCGGCGAGAAGGTGAAGGGCGCCGGCCAGGCCTGCCAAGCCATGGGCAATCTATATCACACGAATTGCTTCATTTGCTGCTCCTGCGGCCGGGCGCTGCGCGGCAAGGCGTTCTACAATGTGCACGGTCGTGTCTACTGCGAGGAGGACTACATGGTAGCTATTCGGCTCTATACGTGTCTCATTCACACCTTAACTCACCCTCTCTCTCTCTCTCTCTCGCTCTCTTTATCGTCTTTGTAGTATTCGGGCTTCCAGCAGACGGCAGAGAAATGCGCCATTTGTGGCCACCTGATCATGGAAATGGTGTGTACGCCCTGTCCCCGACCCTCTTCCTCTCTGTCCCTCTCTGTCCCTCACTCTATCTGTCTGCCTCTAATTGGTTTCATGCACTTTCAGATTTTGCAAGCCATGGGCAAGTCATATCATCCGGGCTGCTTCCGCTGCTGCATCTGCAATGAGTGCTTGGACGGCGTGCCCTTCACCGTGGATGTGGATCACAAGATTTACTGCGTCAATGACTACCATCGCATGTTTGCGCCCAAGTGCGCCAGCTGCGGCAAAGGTGCGCTGCCCCCAGATCTCATATATGTATATGCATGTCTATTTGTATCTTATTTATAATATGCTCTGCTGCAGGCATCACACCCGTCGAGGGCACCGATGAGACCGTGCGCGTCGTGTCCATGGACAAGGACTTCCATGTCGATTGCTACATCTGCGAGGAGTGCGGCATGCAGCTGACCGATGAGCCGGACAAGCGCTGCTACCCGCTGGACGGCCGCCTGCTCTGCCGCGGCTGCCATCTGCAGCGACTCGCGTTGCAATCGTCACCGCACACGCGCCACCAGGAGCCCGTCTGTGCATCCTATCAGTATATGGGCTGAGGCGAGGAGGCGCCCCGCCCATTCGACTGACGATAGCAACTAAACGCACAAAATAACTATACAACTATACATATACATATATATACAGTATACATCATATATACATACATATATATATATATACAGTAAATAAACAACGCGCATTTCCATTTTTGCAATAACCGATTTAATAAACAAAACTAAATTTCATAAATACAAACGAACATATATTAAATCAGTTAGCTATCCCGTTTCTGATCTTGATAGTAATTGCATTTCTTCTGCTCCCTCCCGCTCGGTTATGCCCCCTTTCCCTTACCCCCTTTCTTTTCGATGTGTTGTTTGGCAGCTGCTTCAGTGCATCAGAATCTCCAGCTGGACGAGGCGATTGTTGGTGTCCGAGGGCATGCGATAGGGCAGCGTGGCAGCCATGTTGGTCAGTGCCTTGGCGCGTTGGCGCAAATGTGAGAGAATCTCCTCCTTGGGCTCAATCAGCAGCTCGTCGTTGGAACTGATGCTGCGGCTACATATGTTGGCGCCGGCCTTCATCTCCAGATACTGGCCGTAGATCAGATCCATGGCGGCCAGCAGCACATCGGGCAGCACTTTGATCAGGTCGGTTCCAACCAGCTTCAGCTTGTTGACACACTCGTCCACCTCGGCACAGCTGTTGGGCGTAATGCGATTCCTGTTGAGGACCTCAACGGCCAAACGCGACTGACCCGAATGGTAATAGTCGAAGAACTTGATTAGCTCCGCCAGCATGCGATAGGTGCGCATCACAGGCTCGTCGATGTCGGCCTTGCGCCGGCTCAGCGACTCATTCATGCGCTCCGACATCACCGTCAGCTGCTCGCGGACGCTGCCCTTCTCCGCCGGCTGGTGCACCACCTGCGTGAGCAGCGAGCAGAGCAGCCGCAAGGCCTTGTCCAGCTGGCCGCCAATGAAGTAGAGACGGATGGCCGCCTCGAATTTGGTGCGATGCGCCAGCTCGTCGCCCACCATGCCGGCCAGGATGTACTTGTCGTAATCCAAGTTGGAGAATTGGGACAAGATGCCGCTGCAGTGGGGTATGGGTAACATTGAGTAAAAGCTATAAGGAATGCCATCATCAACTGCTTACCCAACGTAGCGCCACGGATCAGAGGGATCGGGCGAGCCGAAAATCAAGAGCAACATATTTTCGTCGCAGTTCTCGACGAGCATATCGCAGACGCAGCTCATCATCAGGTTGCGTCCATCGGAGGTCTTGAAGTTGCGCAACAAGTAATAGTATTGCAGTGCCTCGACGGTGTCGGTCTGCTCGAAGCACTTCGTGTACATGATGATCAGGCGCGCCAGATTGAGGCGACGCATGGGCGGCGGATCGGTTGGGTCGGTGGAGAGCAGCGGCTTCTGTATGTCATTGGGCGTTGCGAGCATATACTGCTCGTTGAGGGCGATGGCCATGTGCACGGCATGCGGACGATTGGCATCGGTGCGGGCGAGAAACTCAAGCGCTGCCTCGAACTGGCCAGTGAGGACGAGCACCTGGAAGTAGAGCGGCGTCTTCTCGCGTGCATTGAAATAGTGCTCGCCATACTTCTCCAAGATGAGCGACTGCAGGTCGCCGTAGCTAAGGCGCTCCAAGTCGTAGTCGATGCGCTCGGCGGTGTCCAGTACGCTCAGCTGCATCCAAAGGAAGTCGTCAATGGTGCGCACCACCTCCTGATGCGGATCGTTCGGATCGCAGGCCAAGACAATGGCATAGACCTGCAAATCGGCAAAGAATTAGAAATGTTACAGAGTTATATATAGATGTATATATTGGTATAGCGTACCGCCTTTTTGAAGGGATCTGTGCAGACGCGCAGCTTGTTACAGTACTCGAGCTTGAGCTGCCCCTCGAGCTTGACAGTGGGACGCTCAGTTTCGTTCAGCGGATGCAGATGGTCCTGCTTCTGTTTGAGCTTATGCTTGGCCTGCAGCAGCTTCATCAAATCGGGGCAAACGCCGCCCTCCTTGAGGAACTGCACGGCGGCGCCGAGATCACCGCTGCGCAAGCTGTAGTAGACATGCGGCCACAAGGGACGGCCATCGCTGACGTCGAGCAGCCCGACCAAGGAATGAGGCGACTGGAAGGCGATGGTCACATAGGAGCATACCGTATTGTAGACATTGGGTACGCCGCCGCGTAGGCCAATCAGACGATTCTTCTGGATGACCGTATTCATGTAGCGCTTGTAACACTGCTCCAGATAGCTCAGGGCCTTCTGCACCAATGGTAGGCCGTTCTGGCGTAACTTGGCCGGCTCAACGCTGCGACTGAGGGGCGTCACATTGGCCATGTAGGTCAGAACGCTCCACATTTCGCTAATCTGAACATCCATGACAGTCTCCTGCTCCTTCACCATTTGGGTGAACTGGTTGAGCAAATTGGTGCGTTGGCTGCCCTGATTGTGGACCTCATTGTAGATGGTGATCTGCTGGGCATACAGGGCCTCCACGCGATTCAGGCGAGAGCGCGGCATGGCTGTCTGTGGTAGTACGGTGGACACCATGTGGCGGTGCACCTCGGGAAAGTCTTCCTGATTGGGCCCGACCAGAGCATTAAGCAGATGCTCCTTCTCCTCGCCCCACTCAGCAAGTATGCAGCGCATTTTGTTGCGCTCCACCGATTTGAATATCTATTGGGGAATATATACTATCAAAGGAATTCGAGAAGAGAAAAGAGCATTCACACTTACATTTTTATTGGTCTCCTCAATCACGGCAATTATAGCATTCTCGCGCTCGTTCTTCAGGTAGCCCTCCACATCGGTATCGCCAATGGGGTTGATGGGCTCGAAGGATTGGCTGGCGCTCAAGGTTTCGAGTTTCTGTGTCAGCTTTGGCAGATCGACGCCCCTAGAGCCAAGCAGAATGTGACTGCAGGAGACAAGGCACGGCATACATAAATATACATCATTATAATATACACAGGCAATTGTTAACTTACGCTTGCAAATCGTTTGTGCCGGCTTGTGTGACGCGCTCATGCAGCTCCTGTGTGGCTTGCAGCACCTGCGAGAGCGTACGATCGACGCGCGGCATTTCTGTGTCTATTTGGGTTTCATTGGAGAGGCGCTGTGCCTGCTGCAGCAGCTCGTTCAAATTCAGCGCCATGATTCAACTTTATATTTATTTAGTTTTTTTTTTTTAATAATGGAAATAGAAGCCGACTTGTGTACACCAAATAAATAAATTCAATGCGGCAGCACGATAGCCGGCATGACAAAACGAACAAATCTCAGTGAGACCAGAGGCATGGCTAGCTATCGATAGCACTTTTCAACTCTGCGTTCAGCTGTATATCGATATATTGCAGCGATGTCAACGTCCCAGCGTATCATATGAACAATCCAACACTATTTCATACTGTAACTATAGCAAACAGGCAGCACACCGCAATCGCTTGCAACGGGAAGCAAACGTAATTTTTTTAATACACACAAACACAATCGACACACACATACATATATACTGGCGTACTTAGGTACAGTGAATTTTGAATTAGTGTTTTGTGCTCGTGTGTGCATACATATTGGCAAATATAAATTAGAACAACAATAAAGAGCATAAGAAAAACACGTACGCACGTCACGCGGACGACGACGACGATAACGCACGGAAACAAAAAAAAAAAAGAATTGAAAAGAAGACACCGCAGTAAGAGCGTAAATTTCTAAGTTGTTAACAAGAAAGCTAAAGCTTTACAAAAAAAAAAAAAAAAAACCATGTCAGCCGCCGAAGTTGAGACACAGCCGCAGCAGGAGACGACGAACGGCACCAGCAAATATGATGTGCCCGAGATCGAATTGATCATTAAGGTGGGTTACTTAGCCAACCACATGCAATAACAGACATGTACACATGCATGCACATATTTATACATATGTATGTATGTATATATGCTTGTATTTCGCAGATTTCAATATGCGCGCTTTGCAAATTTTCAGTACATCCAAAAAGTGAAAATTATGTTGTTATTGTGTTGCAAATAACAGAATCAGCACAGACACCTTGTGCTTCTTCTCTGCTTCAGTGTCACTTGAAATACATATGCATATGTACATACATATATACATACTTTCATATATACAAATGTATTCATTATGCTCGTTTTTGGTCTTTTATTTATTCATCATCATCATTGTACTCTGCCGCCCCCTTTTGTATTGTCTGACCGTCTATCTGTCTGCTGGTCTGTTTGTTCTTCTTGTTTTTGTTATTAAGCTAAGCATCGCAAAAACTGGTTTCAACTCTCGCTCGCCCTCTCCGTCTCTGTCTCTCGCTCCTTCGCTCTTCTTTAAGTTCTCGGCCAGCTAAGCTCAACACACACATATACATATGCACATATATCTATGTATGTGTGCATGCTTCAATTTGCATTCGTAGTAACAGTAGCTGTGCTAAATATTCTTGCATTTGCTTTGCGTTTTAATTAATAAGTTCTTATCTGACATAAACTTTAATCGCATTTCATTACTTCAATTGCCTGACATCGCACACGTTCTTATTGCTTGTGCCTATCTGTGTGTGTGAGTGCGTGAGTGTGCTCCAATGTGTAGCTGTGGCTTCGAAATTTCTTGGCGCCTACGTCATGCAAAATCGAAGACGAAATCAACACTTCAACTCGAACATTTTGTTGTTTGCCAACGTAATTGTCTTTGCACACAGTCATTGTTGATTTTATTAGTTAAGCAGCCATTATTTAGGGCCTCATGTGAGCCGGGCTCTGGCAGCACTCCTCAAACGCCCACGTCTTGTATGCGACATTTGGCGCACCTTCGACAAACAATGCGCAGAAGAACGATGACTAATGCAACTCCAACTGCAGGGCATAGAGTTTGCCAATATCTACTACACCTACCACCACCCGCACCCCCTTAGCTACTTCCTGTTAGATTGAGAGAGAAAGTGAAAGATGGCTGCCTGAGCGAGCGCACCTGTTGAACTCAGTGCACTCTCTCAATGAAGCAGAAGCGTCTTTGACATAACACACACACACACACGTACATACATACATAGATAGAGAGAGCAACATGTACATGCCATTTGTAATCAAAGGAAAAACAACAATAAACGTAAATGTACAAATAAAGCGTTTAAGCAAAAAGTGAAAGTTCAATTTGGTTTGCGCCCAAATACATTGCGCCTGGTTGTTGCCGTTGTTATGTTGCATAGATGAAGAAAGCAGCA